AATGCACCATGAAATGTGCTGCTCATCCATGGTACAGTAGCAGCCATTCAAAATGGCCCTTCCCAGTCAAATGCTAGCTGAATGGCAGCCCACTTTCTTGCAACTCCCAGCAAAATCCCCTCCAACTTCCAGCCACTGGGTATGCATGTTTTTTGCTCTGACTCCACCCTTTCACTGAATTACAGGGTCTGACCAGGAGATGATGCTTCTCTTTAGATCTTAATGTCCACAAACCATGACAGAAAGAATATTTGAGTACAAAGACTGATGTTTAAACAGGAATTGTAGGGGACCAGCCAAGGGCCAGCCAATGGCCTATCAAGGAAAGTGGGGAAATTTTGAATGGCTGCTACTCTAACTATACGAGCTGATGTATCCTAGAATCCAAGAGTTCTCCTCACAAAGCATCATTAGATTTGTTTTTGGGCTAAGAGAGAACAAATATGGTGGAGGCTTCGTGTGGGCAGCCAGAGTCACATGAACAACAGGGAGGGGAAAGTAGTGGTCACGTGTATGAACAGTCAGAGGCCCGAGTTCACCATAAATCCATATAGTTTCTGATCTATATAGTCATTTAAGCATTTAGGGGTTAGGGGCGGATGTTCGGACATAGCTGTTGTCTTTGAACGCAGCAACACTTTGAGATCCTTAGCCAAAGTATTTTGCAGAGCATTCTTAATGGCAAGGTTTCCATACAACACATCTTTCACCATAAACTATTTTTTTATTTTCTGATTTCAGATCAGAAAAATATTTTTGTGAACAGTTCTGATGGATGTTACTATTAATACCATAATAAGGAGATTCCACTGGTGAAGTTATCAAGAGTCTATGGATTCAACCTGAAGATCACCCGTATCATAGCACTCGTCTTATGGTGCTTATCTGCCAAACTTAAATCTCAGCAACTGTGGCGAACTTTTTTAACATTTAGTTGCTAGACTGGATATTTATTACGGATCTGTGTAATATAGTTTATAATCTATGAAGTGCAAGTCTCAATAGAAATTTTCTAAGCTCACAAACTAGGGACTGTAGAGACCCACTTTCTTGTCTAAATACCCCGTGCCACAGTTAAAACTTGAATCTTTAAACATGGAAAACATAAGCTTCCGACAATATAATCTCACTATCACACTAAATGACTACAGTTACTTAGTCTGTTTAAATCACTATGGTAAGTCGCTCACTAAAACATGACGACAATGATGGGGGAGTTTTTCATGTCCCTGGAGTAGGACCATTAAATGCAGCTGAAAATTACACAATGTAGCTTTGAATTCATATTCATTCATTATTTACAAGTAATTAAACTATGGTTATGATCATAGATAACCATAATTATGTAACAAGTTCCGGATTGTTAAACTTACTGATTACATTTTTATCGGCTTGCCATACTCCCTATGCCCTTACATATCTTAACTTGTTTTTTCTTGATGAAGTGTGTGGTTTTGATTGGATCTTTACCATTTAGCTAGTATTTTTTTCAAACGTTACCTTTAAAATTTGCTTTAGGTATGCGTCTTTCGAAGTTAGTAAATGTAAGTAGCAGATTGGTAAGGAGAAAACCCACCAGCACCTTAAGTCACAATATATGAAGAATTACAAAATATGGCGTAATACCAGACATTTTATCACCCCAAAAAGGACAAATGCTGATAAAATGTGATGTGAAGTTTTGTTTTAAAAGTTAAAAGCAATGGCTGTGGCTTCAAATCACCCAAACAGCTCCAGGAGGCAAAGGCTGTGACAAAGGAAGTCTCCAGCCTGCAGTCATACCTGTCTCAGTGTTTTACCACATTGGAGGCTCCATCAGGATTTGTGGGGATTTCTCTTAAAGGGAAAATGGAGCTTCAACTGAAGCAGGAATGACAAACCACAGCTGAATACGGGGAGCTTTTGAGGGTCCTCATCTGTACAGTACTAACGGGGTCTTTAAACTTTACACTGGTAAATTTCACAATGTCAATCAGAACGAATTAAAAAACAATAGTCTTACATTTATATCAGCTGAGTTCCTGTAGATCATTTTTGATACATTTTGCATTTAATTTGTTTTGTTTCATTTTTTCTAGCATTTTAAAGTACAGCTTTAAAGTTAGTTATAATTCAGATATGTTATAGATGTAATCAGTAGTCCTAAAATCAGGACTGGATTCAGTCATATACAGATACAACTGTCAGTTAAAGTGGAAAATAAAAAAGTTAATTTGATCAAAAAAGTTAATTTGATCATATCAAACAAAATGAACTATTTTCCAGTGGAACATAAAGTAATATGTTAGTAATTCAAATACCTTTTTATAAAGGTCAAATATTTTGTGAAACTTAAAATTAGTTTTATTCAAAGCTGCTTAGAAAACATACAGATGTGGTGCAACATTTGAACACACTCATTATGACAGAAGATCATTTTGGGCTTTAATGATTCATTAGTGCTGTTTTTTTTTTCCAAGATAATAAGCAATTTATTTTAAACTCAACACAACACCCAGTTTGCATAGTTCTGGCTAAATATTCAACAGTTAATAGCTGAAATCTTAGTGTTCATTAAAGTTAGTTGGTTTCCTTGTGCTGACAAACATTTATTTTAAACAGACTTTTGCGAAAGCCTAATTTAAGCCTGTTTCATGTCATTTAAAATCTGTGTGTTCTAATCTGATGTGTGTGTTTGGGATAATTGCCCTGTTAAAAACCCCAGTGGTTCTGACGAAACATGGGAGGCAGTCTGGACTGAAGCAAATCGAGTTACAAACTCAAATACGTGGTGGGATTTTAAATGGAAAATTATTAGCAGATATTTCAGGACCCCAGATGTAGTTGCAAAGATGTATCCTAAAGTACCAAGATTGTGCTTGGAGAGACTTAGGCTCAGCAGTCCCCAATCATACATAAATTTTTTGGTCATGCCCCAAACTTCAGAACTGTTGGGATGAGGTGTACAGGGCTATAAACCATATCTTCCTTGAAGATTTGGGTTATATTTCTTATGTTGCTGCTATTTGTCAAATATCCATTACTGTAAAAATGCCTATAGCTGTATATTGGTTATTTATTCTCCAGGTGCACAGTATTTATATCGTTAAAACACTTTACAGTACAATATCTCATTTGTTTATTTTTTTAACTCTTTAGTATTATGTTATTCTTATACACTTTTCTATATTTTTTTTCTACAATCCTTTTTCTGTTGTAAACACAGAATATCCCCATTGTGGGACAATAAAGGATTTTCTATTCTATTCTATTCTATTAAGTTATGTTTTACAAGGATGTAACTGTTGCATTACTTGGTTTTATGCCAGATGGTTTGCAGCAATGCGCTAAAGCATATCTGTTAAATGTCCTTTTTACAGCAGCCCTGATATGAATTACAATCAGGTGGAACCACCTTCCTACGACTTATGGGTTCAAAAAAAATTAAGTAGAATAAAATAGAATAGAATAGAATAGAATAGAATAGAATAGAATAGAATAGAATAGAATAGAATAGAAAATCCCTTTTTTCTCCCACAATGGGAAAATTCTGGTGTTGCAGCAGCAAAGAGACTATAGGAAATTATGGAAATTGTATAAAATGGAAAAGTTACCTACTCATAAAGACTTCAGAAAAGCACTTTTAGCCTGCGCTGGGGGCAAGCTAAAGCTATGTTCATGTAAATAAGCCCACCTTGGTCTTTTGGCATGTAGTGCATGCTGTTCCCCTAAAAGTGTACCCTTATTGTAGGGATGTGTGGTGATGAGTCTACAAATGTAATGCTGAGGTTGTAGGATATCATGCTAAGATGGTTATTTTATGGATAACTTCATATTGTCAACATTTGTGTTATTTACCACTGATGTATGGCTGTATAATTGCTCTGTAAAAATAAATGTGTAAGTTCTAAACAAAAAACAAAATAAATATATTATAGAGGAAAAGCTCATCATGATAATTCCTCCACAACCATCCCGTAATGTGCCCACAAGCATGATTCGACCTGAAAATGATTTTCCTCGTCCAAGTGGACAGTTTGTTATATAATAGATAGAACATGGAAATATGAAAATTGATGTCAAATGTAGTTTAATTGTATAGCTTTGTGGTTGTGAGAGAATTGATTAAATGAAATGGATTTTATGTTTAAATCCTGTTCTGAACCAGAAAAGGAATATCCCAGAATAATCAAAATGAGACTCACAGCCACGGTGAGTGTATTTAAAAACTTCTGCCTGTCACAGCATGTGGCTGGGAATTGGAAGATGAAACCACCAAATGACAAAATGTTTGACGTATCCCTCAGCTCAATGTAGAATTGCATTTTGAAAATGCAATTTTACCGCAGTTTAAAAAAAGGCCTTTTTCCCTCATTTCCGAATTGGAAAAGAATTAGCATAATTGCCTCATAGTGCCTAAATTGGCATCTGTAAATTTTAATTTGATAATAAATCTCCTCTATGTGGGGGGTGTGGGGAGGTGCAGGATGGAATTAGATTACAGTCTTGGATCTCATTAGAGATATTTGACAAAGGTCTTTTTCATAATGCTGAGATGTCATCAGCTGGAATCTGAAGAAAATTAATTCATTTTCTTAGTGGGGCACTGGTCTGAAACCCTCCTTTTAATTATGCTCTTTCTTTCAGCTCCCATCTTTTCTCCTTCAAAAAAAACCTCTAATCTTCTTTAAACACTTCACTGAAACTCTCATGTTTTATATATTTTTTTCTAATATTGTTCCATAATTTCTCCTTCTACTTTTAACCTTTTCTTTCATCATATTGGCCTAAAATGTCATTCAAATTTTAATTTTTTTTTATTTTATTTCAAATCTAATCTTTAATATGCTGACCTTTGGGTTAAAACATATATATTCAGATCTATAGGTTTAGTTTAATTTCATATCAGACATTCATGTCAGGCTTTCAGGATGGTTCATATATTTTCTTTCATCATCAGTTTTTCTTGTGAAATGCTAAGTTGTACCTCACCTCTGATTGCTACTTTCTTTATATTTCAGGAATCCAGAATAAACTGCATCCGCATCGCTCGCAAAGGTAATTCAGAGCTTTACTTTATCATTCAGCCAACAGTCTCATTAAACGTTTTGTGAGGGTTTTTCTGTTTAAAAAGCTAGGAAATAACCATAAGGATGTATTGTGTTTTAAGTGTGTGTGTGTTTGGTGCACTTTTGTTTACCCTTTTCTTAAGTACAAAGGTTTAGATCTCGCCAAATGTTCTCTGATGGTTTCTTGTTGTTCAACAGTGGGCCCCAGAGAAAAGGGCAACAGGCAGGGAGGGATTAGAGGTCAGGCTTTCATCCTACTTGTTTGGGGGCAGACACTAGAATACACCACATCAAACTAGTCTCTTTGTTCTCATCAGCAGCCCACTAGATAGCTACATCTGAGAGCTCCGACCTCGGTTGCGTCCAAAAAGGTTCTCCAGATCAAAACCTCCAGATGGAGCTACCTTGGCCTCTCAGTATAAGAAAGTGCTGCCCCCTCCGCGCTTCTATTCCTCTGCTCCTCAGCGTTCCAATTCAAAAGACATGAAAAGGGCAGAGACATTGACTCTAAGTCCTGATGGCAGGAGAATCTTTGCCACAGTACGCTGTCATATCATGGCGAATAAAAGTCATGTATTTATAGTTATCGTTGCTGCAACAGTAAGCGGAGCCTTGTAAGTCAATTGATTTAGAGGGTTGCCTCTTTTCCTTTTTTCTTTTTTTTTTGAGAAGGCTGCATAACGAGAGATGAGGCTCTCCTCAAGCATAAAGCCAAAAGGCAAAGCTCAGCTCTCACTCCATCTGCCTCCCACTACCCAGTTGGGCATTGATTAATTATGCTTTCTTACGGCAAGGAGCTGAACACTGCGCTGGCCTCGTGCCTTTTGACACGAAATGCTGCTAAAGAACGGAATGCAATAGTGCAGTAAGATATTAACAATGTCACAAAAAGAGAGGAAATGGAAGAGAAAGTAACTTAAAAGCAATACTGTATGAGTAATGCACTCTTAGGATTTAACCCATTTCCTGGGGCTGCGTGTAGACCAAAAAGCCACAGTTTTTACCAAGGATATCCACGAGTCCCTTTCTCCAAGTCAACTGAGGGCGAAGTCACGTCTCAAATCTCTGATGACTTAAAATATTTTCTAATCAAATCCATGATGCTATGCTACTCTTGCATTTTCAATACCTACAGGAAGCGGCTACACTTAGCTTAAGTTAATGTTTTTTTCTTGACACCTCTCTGACATGATAGTTTACTGGTTTTAATGACGTCTACCAAGTTCATGTCTGCTTCTCTGCTGCAACTTAAAGTAAATTTAACCTGATCTAAAATGTCAATCCGTGAATCTTTAATTACTTTGTGGCTCAAAAACCTGGTTATCTGACACACACACAAAAAAATAAATAATAGGAATGAAAGATAAAAAAAAAATAGATATTGAATCATTGTTAAAGCAAGTTAATTTATTTTCCCACCATAAAATTCAGTTTCAATCAGGAAAATTCATCCTTAAACAAACGCATTCAATTACAAAGTACATGAAAACATATTCAGTCAGATCAAAGGGTTATTTCTATTTTGGTTCTGTGGTTTTCTTTATTTAAAAAGAAAACTTTATATTTTTTTCTTTTTGTGAATTGTAAAGTTTTTAATCAACCACATTTTTATGCATCAAAGTTCAACATTACAACTGAAATATTTTGCCTTTGAGGTATTTTTCTTGCGTTACCGAATGCAATATACTGAAAAGTTTCAAACGCTACATCAAATTACTCAGTTGAAAAACTAGTCATTTACAAAACAACATTTAAAAAAATGTTTGTAATAGAACTCCTGCCACTTAGTTTCCAAGTAGAATTATGAGACAATTTGTTTATAGGAACTTAAAGCTATTAAACTCCCAACAAATTTCGATAGTCTCTCCTTTATAAACATAGGAAACTGTGTTTGACTAAGCTGCAAATTTAGCACGTTTAGGATTACGTTATACATTCTTTGAAGATGATGTTAGCTGGAAATCTCATGCAAACTGCTGGCTTCTCTGTGTTGCTGGAGTTGTTTCTTTTCCCGTGTAGTTGCTCTCAATGATTCCTTGGCCATTAACATAACCTCTGCATCATCAGGTCCTGAGCCATTATTATCAAGCAGCCCATCACAGGTAAAGTGGAGGCAAATGATTCTGGCTTGGATAACAGAGCTGGAGATTACATTTCAACTTCCAGGTGACAGTTTAATTAAGGATCCTCTGGCAGGCACAACACAACAATAGACTTCCATTTCTCCCCTAAGTGCCAATTTCCACCACAGGGCAGCAGGCAGGTGCTTGGATTCATGTGAAAATCTATTTCATGCTCATGTTTGGCTTAATAGAAATTTTTGAAGCTAAATATGACAAAACAGTCTTCTCTGTCCAAAACATTATGAAACGGAAATGGAATTTCCTCAGCTCCTCATCTACATGTTTAACAGCTTTAAGTTTTAACTAATTTTAAATGAAAAGACAATGCTGGATATACATTTATTACGAGGAATATTTTATAGTGATCAGCTTCTTAGAGGCTGAATGATTTGCTGTTTTACTTATCAGATACATAAAACACCTGTGAAATGCTTTCTATTAATGGACCTCAGCCATTGTAAAATGAGACCAGTGACTTATATTCTGCACTGCATTTTTCCAGATGCTGATTATTTATTAATAACCCTGACAAGGACTAAAATTATATTTTACCACTCTTGTCTTTGTTTGTGATGGGGGTTCAAAAGCAGTGCCCATGGCTGCTGATAGTTTGGCTAAAACACGGCTGTATTTTTATTGTCCCTGCCCTAGATCTGATTTTTTCCCCCTCTTAGCAGACTGTGAGATAGCGCTCTGTCCCCAGGCGTGCTCTGACTTTCTCCTGCTCTCCAGATAGTTTGAGCTGTTCCATTGGGATCAGAGGGGTTGGTTTCAGGGCTGTCAAAGCCTGGAGGACAGGCTGGCAGTGGGTAGGATTTAAAAAAAAAAAGTAGATCAGTGGGCACCACTAACAAGACAAAGACAGCCCCGCTGCTCAGCACCATTTACATAAGTATGAAGCTTTACGGTGGAGAAATGAATAACCTGCTATTATGGTAATGACCTTTTCGCTGGATAACGGACACCAGGGCACCTTGAGATTATGCCGCGGGCCTGGGTAGATTGTTCTGACTGAGAACAGGATATTTCATTCATTTTCTATTTAAAATTAACCTCAAAGTATCATTGTAAGTATTATAACACATCTATATACATTTTGTACATAGAAATGTAGTATTATTGCAATTGGAGGCCCTACTCAATCTTTAGGCAGACTGCAGAGTGACAGTTGTACAGCCCACAGTCAGTGACACATTTCATATGAAGGGTAAACCAGGAAAGATAATTGTTCAAAAGATATGGGTTCCACTATGTTATGTGGTCACCACAGCCTCATATGAATAATGAAGCAAAGCTTATTCAAATGTCTGAGGGAGTTTTACAACTACGGCTGCAGCTAGTGCTTCATATGCATTGTATACATATTTATATAGAACTGTTGCTACAGCTTTCATATTGCTCGTTTTAATCCTGTTTTTAATCAGAAATAATACCAAAAATGCAATATTTGCATTTAGAAATGAAAGTGCCAGAGGTGGGAGGGAAGGTGGAAAGGCTCAGAGTATCTGTGTTTGAGGTGCACTGTGCACAATCAGTGATCATTTGCAAAGCAAAGGGCAATGTTAGTCCAGTCACCCACTAGCTAATTTTAAGAGCAAAAAATGCTTCCATCTGAAGCATCATCAGAGCTGAATGGAGGTGTTGCAGGCACAATCACCGGAGGAATTAGTAATATTGATTAAATTGATGCCTTTATTTCTTTCACAAATAGATTTTTTGATGGGGCAAAACAACACCATAAAGTGGCAATGTATGGTTTTGGAGGCAATATTGCTATAATGTTGAACTTGAGAAGGAAAAAAAATAAATAAATAAAAAAAAATAAATAAAAAAAAATAAAATAAATATATATATATATATATATATATATATATATATATATATATATTTCTACTTTGATATTCAAATGTAGGTGTTTGTAATTTAGATAGCATGTGGAGGAAGAGGAACAACTAAAACAGGTAGGACAGTAGGTCCTGTGGACCAGAATGGAAGACCTATGGTCTGCACTAGACGTCTTCAACCCTAGTCCTCAGGGCCCACTGTAAAGGATGTTTTAGGTGTTCACCTACTGCAATACACTTGACTTAAACAGACGGGTGATTAAAATATTTCTGCAACCCTCAACGTTTGAAGAGGTAATGCATAATTTGATGAAGTTTTTGCTAAAGCAAAGACACGTCTTAGGAATGAGGTGCAGAGGGCCCTAATCTTAACCATCTCATCTACATTGAAGATCTGAGATACCAGAGCCAACAAAGCAGACAAGTTTAAGGCCGCTACTAAAGCTGCAGACAGGGAACACACCACTGCTGGTAAATCATGTAAAAGGAACCTTTATTATGTTGTATTAAGTAAGATTTTTTGAGAAAAATATGTGTTTTATCCCGACTTAGATCAAAAAATTAAATACATTTAGGTTTGTATGATTTGTTAATTAATTGACCTTCAGGCGAACAAAGTTGTCAGAAATAATTGTGACTCAAAAACTTGAAATATAGTAACACATAGAAAAAGTGCAGCATTTCATACCTACAACATTTATTTTTTATTTTTCTGTTTAGAAAAAAACTCTTCTAGGAAACCATTGATAAAGACCATTTTATCAAGGTCCTGCTTCAATGATAAAACATTAAAACACTAAAACATTGAATGGCTAAAAGATCTGGAACAGCCGAGACACTGTTCAGATGAGCATATAATAAAAATATATAACAACCATGTATGGTGCTGTTTAAAAATGAATACCTCTATCTTCCTTACATCTAAACTTGCAGTCTGTTTCCTTCACTCCCCTTAGAATTGGCAAGAATATTAGCTAGAAAAGCTGTACAGAGTATCCCTAATGCGTTTTTGGAACGTTGGGTGCAGAAAGTATGTAAATCAACATTTAGGTTTAGGGATGAGTCCTGGGACAATAGTGAATCTTTCTGGTTAAGAGAATATGTTACAGAGTTACATTACAATGTTGTGGGAACAGGTTGTTTTCCACACATGCAAAGAGGGAAGAGTGGCTACCTGCAACTGTTAATAGAATCCTTTTTTTTTATTCACCCTAAATTCGGAGCTTAACCACTATGTTGTGCTTCTGAGCCTCACTGCTCTTTTCTTCCCTCCTTCATTCTCCCGACCTCGCGGAGCCCCTGGATCGCTTTCAAAACATGTCTCCCTGTTTTAATTGACTTACTGCAAATTGCAAGGGGTCCCAATTTTACTCACGTGATCTTATTTTAATCACTTTCAATAACATAAAACAGTTAGGGAAAACTGCTTGAGGTAACAGCTAGAGTTCCCTTAGTGTGCATGCGTGTCCACTTTCAAACACAGAGGTTGCTTGGTAATTGGTGGGTTTAATGCAGTCTGACAATCTGGATGTTTGATATTGTGAATAGGAGTTTAGCCATATTGTTCTTATTTTTGTAGGTACAGTTTCGCTAGTAGACAGTGTTTGATGCATAGTGCAGGAGCTACATCAATTATTTTATCCTTCTGTCAAACTAGTAACCCTTGATGATTCAAGATCAGACCACTCTAAAACATAAAAAGAGAGGTCTAGTTTGTTACTTTTCCTCCATGTTCTGAACAGTTTTTTTTTTTTAAACATTTTAATAAAAATCATTTGAACAAACATCAGTCCTATACATGCCTATTATCTGTATCTCAATAAAAGAAAATGGGGGCATTTCTAAAATCAGCTTTTTCATTCACTCTTTTGGAGGGAGTGCCCAAAAATAATATATTTTGTACTCTTGTGCAAAGGCTGAAATTTTCCATTTTCCATTATATTCCATTTTTTGTTTCTAGCCGCCTGCAAGGATCACCGTAAAGCCATGGAGGTGTCTCAGCACACTGAGGAGATGGGACTGATCCTGGGCATCTGCGCTGGAGGTCTGGTGGTCTTGATCCTCCTGCTTGGTGCCGTCATCATCGTCATTAAGAAAGGGTAAATGACTCCTACCTAATTGTTCTGTGCATTAAAAACATGCCTCATTTTGCACAATCATGCCATATCTGCCACATCTTTGCATTTCATTTCTGAACAGCTCAGTGACCACCTTTTATGCGCCTGATGAACTTTGATGAAGGTCATGCTTTCCAGGGAATAGGCAGGTCCAACAAGCAGCGCTGTGTTGTTTTCCTATCCCAGAGGAAGCAAACAGTGCTCTTGTGCAGAGCCTATCTGAGTGTGAAGTATTTAATTAAAGGTGGATGCAATTCAATTAAATCGCCTAATTACACACACTGAGCAGAGGCCTGACCCTTAAATGAAATGGCAATTGGGAGAGGAAAGGTGTCCCTTCAGAGATTATTAGCCAATGATCCCTCAAGTGAATTATTTGCACCTTTAGCTCTTCCACTTAGATACCTTCACCATGGGTCTTTTCCAAGTCAAAGTATCCAACAGTTAGAGTATAGCTTTCCAAATGAGGAGTCAGTGTTCCACCTAAACAATTGAACATACTAAAATGGCCGATAGTTGAAGTCACTATTCTGCACACTGGGCCCTGAGCCTCTATAGCTTTTTGTCATGGAGATTGATTGCCAGATTGGCTGTGACAGGAAGCCACACAGCTCAGTCCTCGAGGTGTAACGGCCAGAAAATGAGTCGATTGAAAGTTTGTCTACCGCTGTGTGTTTGATCTGCCAGCAGCTGGTTGATCCACTCACATATGTCATAAGGCTGCCTGCACAGCTGGACTCTTTATTTTCACTGTAATCAATGCATTCTCTTCTCAGCTGGCATTGCTTTCATCTTACATATCTTCTTTTTCTTGATTCCCCCCCACCTTCCTCCCTTTGCTGCGCTCTTGCCAGAAGGGACCACTACTCTTATTATCCGTAAGTGTCTCCACCTCTCATCTGGGGATTCATCATTTACATGCTTAAGCTCCTGCTTATCATTCATCAGTTGAAGGGATAAATTCAACACAGTATTTCTATATGTTAAATACGGTGCCTTGAATACCTCTCAACATTTTTATTCCATTTTACCACATTATAACACGAATTGCAATGCATACATTTTTTAGGGGTGGGGAAGTTAAGTGGACCCTTTTCAAAGCTTGTCATAAATGAGAAGTTAAATAGCTACTCTGATTCCCATACATTTATCTTAGTACAGGTTTTATCTTTCACCTAAATAAAATAAACAGGGATATCCTATGTGTAAGCTAAGCTTATTTTATATACAGTTGTTCTATAATGTTTGCCATTCAAGAGGTCAAATGTAATTCTGCAGAGATCCACAGCAGAGGTGGGAAAAAAAATCTACATAAAGCTGGTCTTTATAAAGGAGATTGAAAAAACACAGGGTATATAGGGGACACGGCCATGTGGGTTAAGATGGTCTTCTTAAATGAGACTAAAAATGAACTCTTTGTCTTACATGTGAAATCTAGTGTCGGCCAAAAAACCTATACCAGGTATAAACCTAAACATTACCACCATGTTGTAATACATAGGGTTGGAAGCATTATGCTGAGGGAATAATTCCCATAATCAGATGAAGGAAGCTGGTTAATTTGAAGATAGATGGAGATAAAAGACAGGATATACAAGAAAGAAACATGTTGGATGCTGATAAAGGACCTGTAGCAGGAGAAGGAGCTTGAGCATATAGCAGTGGTGGTTTCTCATTAAACACTAGGGGGCGAAACTTCTCCTGTATATTTTATAAGATAATTTGTCAAATATGCATTGTTAAACTTAGTAATTTTTTCCTTAAAATGAATTAAATATGCGCTAAAATGCGATCAATTTTATGGGTATGTTCTGCATTAATCAACTGTTGAGCCTACTCTCCGACGCAATCTCCCGTGTGCTTTGGAGCAGCAAGACACTGCCCGTTAGCCTCTACGTCTAAGTTTAAGCTTCCCTGTACTGACGTGTGAAAAAAGCAAGAAAGTAGAGCCCTGATTGAAAAACATACAAAAATCCATCACTTCCTGTCAGCTTAAACCTATTTAGGGGTCTATAGAGCAGGGGCGGGTTTTGAAACTGGTTGCTAGATGCTGATTGGCCGAACACACTGTATGACTGACAGTGCCCAGACATAGGGGATGGTTCTCCTCATGATGCTCAGAGGTGGGAGGAAAATGGATCATTCAGTCGAAATAGTCGTCTTGCACTGAACTCTTGCTGTGGTTTCTAGAGTTTATTATTTCCCAGCTTTTTATAACTGCGGTTTTCAACCGTTGTAGTATTGTGTTTTATGTGTTTCAACTTTTTTAATGCAATTTGTCACATTCAGATTTAATTAACACCACTGAGCCTCCCCTGTTTCAGAGAGCAGCAGCCGCCACTGGCATACAATGAAGCAACAATGAAATGGTTTAGGTCGGGGATGTCAAACTAAAGTCCTCGAGGGCCTTCATCCTGCAACGTTTAGATTTCTCTGTGGTCCAACACACCTGAATCAAATGGCTTAATTACCTCCTCAGTTGAAGTCAAGTACTCCAGAGTCCTGCAAAGAACCCTATTATTTAATTCAGGTGGGTTAAAGCAGACATGCGTCTAACAAGATGCAGGACATCGGCCTTTCAGGAATGGTTTCTGACATCCCTGCTTAACATAAGTGCAAATATAGCTGAGGATCGGTGACAACAACAGGAGACTTCTGTTTGGAGATGCTCTACTTTTTGCCTCATTATGTTTGAGCAAAGAGGACCATAGATGAATAGATGGGCATGTATATATGTATGTATGTACATATGTATGTATGTATGTATATATGCATGTATGTATGAATATATGTTCTTGTAGAGACATACACCCAAAGACTTATGATTTAACTTCAGTTAAAGGTTGTTTTACAAAGAAATGATTGAGGAGCGCATAACACAAATACAAACAATACATCATTTTCCTTCCAAACCAAATTTAAGCTCTGCTAAATCAAGACGGATGCTTTAAAGTTTGTCATTTAAATGTGAACAAATCTTTTCCAAGGCCTTAGTGTAGCTGTAATTTATCACCGTTTATGCTAACCCAAAAAATGTTTCTTAGAAAACAAGTTACAAGTTTTTTTATGTTATTAAAATCCTGTGTGTTCTGTATCATAACTCTCCCTCCACCGTCTACCCTACCAGGAAACCAGTAAACAAGACTCCTATTACCTACCGGCAGGAAAAGAGCCATATGGGCTCCTTGGAGCACAGTTTCACAGACCAGAGCACCCTGCAGGAGGATGAAAGATTGGCTCTTTCCTTCATGGATTCACATACGTGTGGAACACGAAGTAAGAGACTCATACTTAGGCTCACGCTGGGTTAAATGAAATGATTCTTTAGATTGCACATGATCAGTTCTTAAAAGAGGAGCTCTATGAGCATGTTCTACCTGCCGTAATTGTTCCTAAATTATGTAAGATATAGAAAACAACTGAGTCATTTCAAATGTGTTGTATTTAGTTGCTACAGGTGTATTTTATAGGAGCCTAACTACGTTGTATAATACAGCTCCAGTTTCTTATTAAAACTGCCAATGTGCCTTTCCTTGCTCAGGTGATGCTCGTAGTTCAGTGAACGAGGCCAGCAGCCTGCTAGGGGGCTCCCCGAGGCACCAGTGCGGGCGTAAAGGCTCCCCCTACCACACAGGACAGCTCCACCCCGCAGTCCGAGTGGCCGACCTTCTCCAGCACATCAACCAGATGAAGACCGCCGAGGGCTATGGCTTTAAACAGGAATATGAGGTGAAAAGGGCACTGTTACAGTCTGTTCCCACTGACATTATAAAACAACTTAGACAGCTCTTTGTCTGGGGCTCAGGAGGTATAGCAAGTCTCCCACTCACAGGAAGGTTAGAGGTTAATTCCTTAAGTCTCTGGCCTGCATTCCAAATGTGCTTATGATACAGTATAGTCTAGTGACTGTCAGACTCCCTCCAGTGTGTTTGGCTAAAAAGACTAGCAAGTGTATTACCTATGAGTATAATAGAAAATATGGAATACTGTTTTAGAATTAGATTAACTAGAATAGCTTTTTTCTTATGAAATCTCACTAGATCATTTTCTATATTAAGCAACCAATACAACAGATTTTATAAAATGAAGGAACGAGAGAGGCTGATACCATTCCATAGGACTTTGTAAAGCCCTTCAGAAAACTAACAAACAAGCAAAAAAAAAGGCTGACTCGTGTGCTGTAAAATAAAACCAAACATAAAACAAACACAGCCAGGGAATAGCAGGTTGAAAATCCAAAACATGTAAAGATGTTAGACCTTGATACAAGTAGATCTCTACATCTGTTCTCCATTCCAGACGAAGAACACGTCTAGTGTTGTCATATTAGAGGGTTCAAAGGTAGAATGTAGTTAAGGCAGTTTTTTTAATTCTTTAATGAGGAAATAAGAACAAACTTACAAAGAACTTGACAGAGAAAACAAACCAGAGTTGGAAACAGGAAAGACAAAAATGAATGTTTCAGTTTAGATACATGAAAATTCAGCTGCTTAAATACTGGAAAGATAAAGGCAAGATAAACAGTTGTGAAGTGCGATATGGAAATAGCTGAGAAGGATCAAGGTAATGAGCTGAAGGAGCTAAAAAAACAAAAACACAAGTAAGGGATGTAACATAATGTAAATCAGATGAACACAAAAAAAATTATTAGGTATAATTGTAGATTGATTGATTGATTGATTGATTGATTGATTGATTGATTGATTGATTG